GACATAATTCATCACCAAATTAACGTCAGGCACAATGTTCATGCCTTCGGCAAGCTCATGTTTGAGGAGTCCCACATATACCTCCGTGAAGTGCTAGGTATACAGTGATACACCTGAGACTACCTTACACATGGGAGTGATAACAAAGTCACGCCACGAAGGAACAAAGCGGGGCAATACCAAATTCGACTATTAATTGCATCTGCAGTGCCAAGCCAAGGCTAATTTTACATGTACGCGAGACCATCTTCCTGTCTGTAAATTAGACACGCTGAGAAACATTCTCACGCACGGCGGCCTCGTTCTTAAGTCCAGCCTTGTCGCTGCGAAGACCAGCAGTGTCGGGATTGACACCAACGCCACTGTCAGCAGAGGCAGTGTGCTTGTGCTTGCGAGTACCGCTCAGTACTCCGCCGAGACCGCCGCTGTGGGCATGCATATCTCTGTCGCCCTCACCCTGCTCGACCTGCAAGTCTCTGTTATAAGACTTGGGGCACCCATCATATTCAACCTTGGAATGTCCCTTGCCGTCAAGGCCGGCCTTGTTGCTGTTGAGCTCCTCGAGTGTCTTGGGGGGGAGCACAGAGGTTCCGTGAAACTGAGCCGCGGCATGGTGGGTCTCATGAATGGGAATGGTTGTGTGGACGACCTGGGGCGCGATCACCTCCTTCTGAATCACGGGCTGAACGTGCTCGTGCACGTGGTGATGAATACGCTCACCGGCAACCACGGGATTGACCGAGTTCGAGTGAGTCGTGTCGTGAGTGGTAGAAGTGTCCCTGTACTGGGCAGCGTCGGCATCAAGTTTGGCCCGAACATCCTTGTCGTTGCCATGCTCGAACGTCTTATGCTCAACAGGGACAATGTTGTGAGTATGCTTCTCGGCACTACTGTTGTTAGCGACCAGATGTAAATCACGACATTGGGCTAATTACAGGGTCTCCTTTGCCATAATGGGCTGCACAGTAGTGTGGTGATGGTCCTGGTGAACCTCCTTATCGATGGCGGTCGTGACATTCTCATGACGGTGAGGCATAACATGCTCCTCCGTAATCTCGCGACGGACATCCTCCTCGACAGTGGTCTTGTGCTTCCCATCGCGGGAGACGAAGTCGGCAACGGCTTGCTTGGCTTTCTGCATTTTGGCGACTGTTGTTTGGCTTGTTGCTGTGTGGCTTGAGTTGTCGTTGAAATTGGGTACTACTGCAGTCCTGAGGTGAGGGTGACGATGCGGTGGGAGAATGAACATGTTGAACGGCCAGAAGCCTAAACATATATGCTTTTGCGGAAAGCTCGTGATGTCCGTCGCCCGAGAGCATCTTCGACGTCATCTTCACACGTCATACCTTCATCCCTTTCGAGAAATCTCCAACTACCCAGAGCTGGTACGAATGTGAATGCAATAGGCAGAAGATGGGGGCATGATCTCATCACAAAGTTGCGAGGACATGCTTGGGACACCGGGGCTAGATGCATCCGTTGAATGTCACATCTGACATGCGGCTGAAAAGATCCTAATGGCGGCGGTCCGTTGGTGTGAATGTCACAGCGAGCTGGGATGACGACTTCATCCCGTCGATCCGGCGGTAAGATTTGGGCAAAGCAGCACCGTTGATCTGTAGGGACAGGACCATATGCTGCGAAAGGCATGGTCGCATGGGTGGCTTAGGCTAGCGACGCCCCGGTTGCAGTATGTCTCGGGTCTCCAGGAATGTGCTCTTTGGAGCGAGGGGGTAAAGATGCCACCATCGGTTTTGGCTGCGCGCTAGTTTTTGAGCCGCGCTTTATCTCGTCATCGAGATCTGTTTTGTGCCCTAGGGCAAATCATTCCGGCATCTATGCGGCTGGCTATGTTGGTGCCTGACAGCACGACCGAACGATATCGGTTGGGTCGATAAAGGCAAGTGAGGATCATGCTGCTCCTGAGTTTCAGCCTGCTCAATCTACTTGTAGCACGCAAATAATCTAAAGAAAGAGACGTTCTAGAAAATAACACTTGAAATAACACTTGATCACTGCAGCATGTCCCCGATCTCAGACTTACTTTCATGTAGGGAGCATCGTGTCTATCATTGCAATACAAGCAATGCCCAGTCTTGTATAACAGTCACTTAAACAGCCACTGTCTTACTGCCAGGGTACATTCCAGGATGCCGGGCCCCTCAACAAGCCCACCCGTGTCTTAGTCAGGCTGGCTTCGTCATTAACGCAAGGCAAGCTCTTGGTCTAGCTCCCGTTCTTCCATTAGGCAGGCAAATGACAATAATGTTTGCCGTCGTTCTCGTGTGGTTGATTAGGCCTGAACCTCATCTTCGCGATCAGAATGCATGTGATCGGACGATCGTGGGAAACCCTGACAATTCGCATGAGCGCCACGAGTTGCACACGCGCTGTCTTGAGCAATGGGCTTGCTAATGTGTGCTTGTTCGAATCTTCCCACGTCTATTATTCTTCCTTTAAGTTCTAGCCTTCTTAACAGTGAGTCTGGTAAATGTGGCGGTGATTAGGTACTGGCAAATCTCTGACGCCGTCATTGAGGCAAAGGAAAATCCCTGGCGGTGATCCCGATCCCTGCGGACGATCAACCCTAACAACTTCAGTAGATCGGAGTGGGGTGCAGTACTGATTGGTCACCCCAGACATCCGTTTGCATCAATTCAAGTGACGTTATCGGTCAAAGGTGGCCTAATGAGCTAGAGCACCTTGAGTCAATCCCTTTGGATGACTGGTTTTACTGTCGGCTGCGCTGCAAGATTTGCTTGTGCCTCGGGTTGCTATCATCACGTCAGCTAAACTGGATATAACCATTGAAAAAGCCTGGAATGACGTGTGATTGACTGATCAAGTAAGGTATCCAAGGCGAGAGTTAAGTTCAAAGTGAGGAAAGTGCGCGCCCATCCTGGGTTGCTCGTAGTGTGAGGTGAGATACGACATCAGAACGTACGATTAAGGCTGGCAGCCGAGCAATATCCCATACTATTCCGTTCGCAATGCTGATGCAGCTTCAAATCTGAAAAACCAATAACGTATGATGTGAGGACCAAGGCAGTAAAATTGGGAGACCTCTGCAGTTCAGTCTGTGACGTCAGTACGTGAGATTACACAGGCTGATCTATCTGACTCCCCCAACACCTAGCCACGTCTTCCTCTTGCAGTACCTGTCTTGATTCCAGTATTCCTATTCGATTGTCCGCATTTGAATAACTCCGTCGAGCTTGGCGGACGAGTCTGACACGTTACAGACAGTACCCTGACCTCGCCCCGAGGTCTTCGGGACGAGCTACATCCCATCTTCCGATCCTCTGTACTGAAGGCTAGTCGCTCATAATTCCAGTAGAAGCCTTAAATGGATATATGGAAGCGGATCTTCGGTGCGAAACGGGCAAAGGTCTCGAGTCTTCGTAAGCTAAGCTCGACAAGATCGGTCTCCAGCATGATGAACCATGCCGTGGCGAACCTTCTTGTATTTGGTCGCGCAACGTTCGGCATACAAGATGCAAGATTGAAACCTCCAGCTCCTCAAGGAAACAGAACACGTGGTGGGTGACCTCGGTTCACAGTGTGTCCAGCATGGCGAAGGTGGGAAAGGTTCTTCAATGAAATGAGAAAAGTCCGCAACGGGAGCGAGAGCATCACGGGCACCTTCTCATGGCTAATCGCCTCATGACGAAGGATACAGCTCGACAGATTGTGTTGAGCGTGGGATTTTCATCTTCTGCAATTGGCAGCAATTGGCAGCAATCGGTCACGGATTTCCCATCGTAAAATCTCGGAAAACCTGTAGTGTTGCGCATTGGTCAGCGTTGGGAGGCCTCCGTGCATGAGGCATCCATAGTATCCCTGATGGCTTCTGCCAAGGTAGGTCTGGTGTACAGCAACGCCAACACACTGTGGCCATTGGCCACAATGCCTAAAACCGTGAAGTCTTCGCTATCATGCCCAAAACCTTTCGCAAAAATGTTGCTTTGGGTCTTCTACCAGAACACTAGTATACTCGCTCAAAGTGTGCTGTATCCTTAGTCACCTCAGCTCCGAGGCCGTGTACCTGGCTGGAGTCTCCAGATGATGAGCTTTGGAACATCTAAGCATTCACGGCACACGATTTCTAGGGATACTTGAAGGGGAGGTGGACGGAAATGCGGGTTCTTCATGTCGGAAGAGGCCACAAGGAAAAGAGACATGGACAATCGTTTTGTTGATGTTATCGTTCGTACGGTGTTTTACCTAGGCGATTTCGCCGTATCGGGCAATGTACTTGCTGTGCTGGGTATGTCTTTCACTCCGACTGTTAGAGATGGCTCTCGTTACGGCCGTTAGAGTGGTGGACTAATACTTCCTTGCGAAAATTCAGGGGCCCGTGGGTAGGAAGGCGGCGGTGCACAACGCAGCGCACAGGTCAAAGGGCGACTCAATGGCGCAGAGCAGTATCGTGTGGTTGTTGGGAATCAAGCACAGCCCCACCACCAAATACGTTTTAGAGGGCAAATCGACATACCAGAGAGCATACCTTGATTCTCCGATGTGTGAATGCGGCGCTGCGGTGACCTGACCCAATCATCCATGCTACGAGCGGCACAGTAGTGCAGTGAAATATGATCTCTGGATTTCGTTTGGGGCTGTGTTGTGCGCCCAGAGTCTGTAATGCCTCGAGGGGTTTGCATAGCCCCATTGCATCCGCCAGGGGCTGTACCACCGACGCCCGATTGATATCCCATTCTTTGAGAAACAGTGCAAAGCTTGGGCATAATGGAACCTTATCAGTGGCTGAAGGCCGGCATACGGCCCTCCGCGGACGTCAAAGTGCATTGTGACACGGGTGCACGCACAGTCTGAGGCCATCCACTCAAACTCCAGATGCAGCTATAATGCTACTTAAGCATGCCATGCCATGGCCTGTCTGGAGAGAGAGACATTCCAAGCACCTTCATCATACAGAACCTATCAAATATTGCCAATCAACTCGCAGCAAGATATCATTTCGACTGTCGGGCAGCTCCAAGATGGCTTACGTCGACCTTGAAGCGTACGAAAGAGCCGTCTTGGCTCTCTACATTATCGCATTCCTCGGCTCTTTCACACTATGTATTCTGACCTTTGCCAAGCTCCGGGGAACGGATGTCTATCTCGGCAAGGCCGTTTCATGGCTGAAAGCCACATCTGTTGTGTTCACTTTGTAAATCACCCTTGGTCCACCTAAGAATTTCAGATCGCAGCTAATCAGGCGCGAAGCTCTATCCTTCTTGATTCCATCGAGCGAATATTATACTTCGCCTCGCGTTACGGAAGTTTCTATACCGATCGGAGCCCGAGCCCATTCATAGCTTGGACTGCTGTGCTTCTCAATATCTGGGCCAGAGCCATGGTCCCGATCCTGTTGTCGGCGGCAGGCGGTGGTATTCACCATGTCATGAGCAGTGAACCGGCAGGTCGAGAACGGCTTGTCCGCTCGTTGGCACTGGTTCTGGGCGGATTCAGCGCCGTCATGGCCATTCCCATCTTCGCGGTCTTTGTCTATGCTCACGCGGAGAGCATGAGCAACAACCCCTATGGTATCGTGATCGAGGCAGCGGATCACATGGTGCGCCTTCATACCGCCCTCAACTTTATGATAGTTGTAGCCTCGGTGATCGTGGCAGTCTGGTCGTTCACCATCAAGTCTTCGCAATGGATTCGCTCGGTAAGAGCTCGAGTGTTTATCTCGACTGATACCGGAACTAACCTTCAAGCAGGTTACAAAATTCTTCATTGGCGCTAATTGCATCAATGTTCTCGGCGCCGCGTGGGAAATGGTGTATCAGATTTTGTATTCATATTTCCCTGCCAGCTTTGTTGAGAGTGGCTACTGGACCAGGATGATGCTTCTTCTTCTGAGCACTTGGGGAACTGCGCTAACCCTCGCTCTTGTTTTCATGGCACTGAAGAAACAGCCCAGCATGAACAGAGCCAAGAATGACCGAGAAGCTTCCATGTAGCGCGAGTCCTCATGTCTGATATTCGACAGTCAGCGCGCTCTCCCCCCTTTCACTCAGTAATGATCTATTGCAGTGGACTCACCAATTTTCTTCAATTCTGGCGAGTTTAGTCGTGCAGAGACCTAGGCTATTTGAGATTTTAATCTGTGTATGGATCCATCAACCTGCTTGAAAGATCCACGGTCTTGGCCACAATTCTGTTAGCAATATTAAGATTCCCCATCGATTATTGACAGTATATGTCCCTCCAGTCATTTAGTGCACACTCGAATACTCGTCTATCCGATTTCTCCATTGATTTGTACTAATACTGTTCATCATAACAGGATGGTACCTGCCATGTTTGCCATGGGGTACACAAATCCTAACAATACCACCGCAAGTCGTCACCCTAATGTATGATGGGGTCGAACGGCAACCCTGTATCATTTGCATCAAGTACTGACGCTGGTGCCACATGTCATTTAATCTGCCTTCGGGCTCCTCTCAGGGCCGCTGCAATCTTGGGACGGCGTGTACCCCCCGAACCCCACCCCCCCTGAACTCGCATGCCTATCTGGTGATATTGAGGGTATGAGGGAACCAATGCTTGTTGTTAACCTTTAGGCAGGTTGATCTCGGCATTTGGTATGAAGACTTCGTCGTTAGACCAGCTTTCGACAGGATTCGTAATGATAAGATACTGACTATGGAACTGTCATGTTTTGCCGTAATCTGTCTGAGGTTCAATTCCCGGCGAAGCCTGACGCGGCCTCAAAGCCGAGGTTGGGCAGAAGAGGTTTCTGCGGTTGATGAAGTGGCAGAACTGACACTTCTTGTGGCATTCGATGCTTGGTCAGCAGCTTGGCTTGCCTCAGCTCCCCAAAGCTTGTCCATGATGGCATCTCGCACCGCAGTGTCCCTCGTGCTTGAGAATTCAGGAGTAGTGGTCGTCGCCATCCATCGCCCATGGCGCAACGCCTGGGCAGTGGTCGGAGCACGAATGGCGCGGCAAGCGGCGCGAATGGGAAGACTCATTGTGAAATGTTTGAATGTTGGGGGATGGAAGCAGGCAACAAAATGTTCTGGATGAAAGCTATGAGGGCATGTACAACTTGGATAGAATGATTCAAGCATATCAAAACATATGGTCTCCAAGGACACTTATACAGCGTGATGGCTGTCGGCTCGGGTGTTGGCAAGTGGATGCTTCGGATGAACGGAAGCCTGAATATGAGCGGCCAGCCGGACCTAATCCGGGGTACCCCAAAATGCCCCGCGGATTGTATCGTTGGTGGACCCAGTCAACAGTACACATGCAGTTTCGGCCGTAAAACGCGCCATTCTACAGGTCCAAGCATTCCTCTGTTGAAAGTTAAAAAAGATGCATATGCACTGCTAGTTAACAACCGGGTCGTGCTTCACGTGGAAACGCTTCGGAACTACGAAGTGCTGGTCTGACCGAAATTCCGAGCAATGTCGGATCCCGAACCCCGAGTAAGATGCCGAGCAGAGCGCAATGGGTGGACAAAGGCACTCAGCGTGCTGCACCGCTGTAGTCCACAGCATCTGAACAAGACCGGCGCATTGTTCCCGTGCTTATTAGGGACATTTCCCCAGCAATCCTGGCTGGGAAGCAGTCTGATTTGTTGTACCAGAACAATAAACGCCCTTGCTTGATGCGACATATCTCCTTCGTCTCCTGTTCCTGCTTCAGTCATTGCTGAGTCCGATCCCATTCCAATAACAAAGCTTTGCGTATATTTTTGGCAGCGCTAGATGGCATTTATGACTGCCGACCTAGAAGTAAGATTGCAGCGCAAGTTTTATGACAGCAGAACTTGCGCACCCGGCAGGAAGGAAGAGTCAGACATAAGAAACACAGAACATGATCGATAGCTGCATTTACAATTGGTCGATCGTTGACACTAGTGGTATCGAAATGTCACAACTCGCGGGGCGGGGGCGGGTTAGATTATTATCCGGTCCTTAGCAGCACTTCGAGCTAGCTCGTTACTACAAGAGGCTTGTATCAGCGTCCCAGCCCAGTGGTGTTATCTCGGTGAATTGTTAACACAGGCCAATCGATGGCGTCTCTCATTGAGCATATATCCTCGGTCATCTTGCTTAAACTAAGAAACGAGTTCCCATGTAAACTGTGAGTTACAAAATATTGCAGAGGGGCATTGTGTTTGAGGTCTAGACCTGTCATGGCCTGATCTATTTTATTCATAGCAGACATCCAGCCAACGCGGCGTACGAAAGCAACGGTTGTGGACCGGAGTACTCATTGGTGCCGGAACTGTTAAAAAGAACTGCCATCTTTGGCACAAATGGCTTAGCGATAGCCAGGTCAACCTGTGAGTGACAGAAGCATGGTAACATGAGCTGTCTATAATCCATGATAGCGAAGATGGCATGATGTTGCTAATTTGTCGACTTTCTGCACGAGTTTCAAGCTATTACACTTGAAACAATGAATTCAATGTTGCTATTCGATACCGCCTGTAGCTATCAATGCAATTAGATGGTGGTAGACTTTGGACGATGAGCTGCGCGTCCATTCAATTCAGGTGTCCATCATGCCACACGAACAGGAATGATCATGCATTTGAAGTCGACCTTCAATCCCAAGTGAACTTTGGCTCAATATGGCGAATACCTCCGATGACCCATGCTTGGCGAACCATTGTTCCTTAAGTACGTTTGTGAAGGGCACCTTCTTATTCCGGGTTAGCATGTGAGGTGCAATTTGGGCCCATGCCGTTTGAGAACCAGAGGCAAGGTCCGGTAGGATCGATAGCGGATCCGACGGCACGAAATTAGATCATGCGGAAGGGCGGCACAGCAGATGTGATTGTCAAATTTCACGATGGCTTCATAGCAAATAAATACCGGGACAGGTCCTGCATTGCGTGACAGCCTTGGCGTCGCTTGTCTGCCAAAGCGAAGATCGTTCCCCAGTAGCCGACCAGAAGAAGAAGAGCAGTCATATACCGCGTGGTATCATTTCCACGAACATTGCGTTCATCGTTTTAAAATGCCGACAGCTACCTGGGCCTCAGACTATGACCTGATCAATCTCGGCCCTCTGACCACCACCTTCACAGCTCCGCCTGAATGTACCCTCCCGGTCCAAGGTGTCGGGCTCGGTCCCGACGCTTATGAGCCTGACTACATCCTATGGAACCAACAATGCGACATAGTATCGGCTGGCAACTGTCTCCCGTCGGGGTCTGCAATGGACAATGATTACAATTCTCGCACCGGTCAACCAAACCAAGGCTATCAGCTCTACTACTACTCGCCAGCTGCGGCGTGTCCGGCAGATTGGAAGACTGTCGGCCTTGTATCACGAGCCAACGATGGCTTACTGTCGTACAGCGGAGTTTTTGATCCGTCATGGGTAACGCGTCCGGAGAAATCGGTAACGACGAACACTGTCTTCAATCCCCTCGTCCATCGGTGGGCGAATGAACTCGGCCCTCAGGAGACTGGCATCGCGTGCTGTCCCAGGTGAGCTAGATCCGCGACTTGACGAACGAGGATAAAACGTCTGACATGGAACCCAGCGACTGGATCCCTGATATAAATGCGTTCTGCTTCTCTAATTTCCCAGCGGGCAAGTTTCCGGGCACAACAGCATGCGGCATCGAGAACACGAATTGGCCTCCCGGAACATACGTACCGGGATCTTTTCCACTCGGCAACCAGACCGTGACGGGCATAGTGTTGAGCCTGACAACGACGCTCGACCTCATCAGCTCCGAGACGACTTTTCCTTCGGGCTACTGGGCCACAGCCGATGACGATCAAGAATGGGAGGGCATTGCCACCCAGAACATGATTTTTTTGGCTACAGGCGGCGCTTCTCCTGCGCCGACGCCGAAGCAGACTTTTACGGAGACAGATGCCTTCTCACAGGCGACTGGTGCGAGTGCAACAACGTCGTCACAGAGTGGAACAGGAGCAAGAATGACGGGCTCGAAGGGGCATACGTGGGGAATTGTGGCAAGCCTAGCTGTATTGACGCTTTTCTGTCCGTGGTAGCTGGGGATGAGGGGTCGAAGGCTTGTTACCTTAGTAGATTCACTCAAACACAAAACGCTTGAACTTCTTCAGGCGCGTGGCTATTTTCAGCGCTATCTGTGAATTTCCCGAACAAGGCAAGCGAGATGCCAGCCGCTGCCATCTAGCCCGCCTCATAAGATTGTGTGTGGGACGGAAGGCAAGAGTTGGAGTTATTGCGACTGACCACGAGCAAGGCACCCTCGTATGTTGGGCTAAATCCCGGGCCAATCACCATGAAATCAAAGCCATCAGGATAGCAGTGTCTGTCTTGTCCATCATAAGGCCGTTGGAACGCTCGTATGCAAAGAGACAGAAGCTCGACTTCAATTTGAACGAGTGCGCAAAAGTCCTGTATGAACGTGTTGGATTGCGCTGTTATTAGTCCGAACTGGTGTAATGGCTAACATTTGACGCTCTCACCGTCAGGCTCAGGGTTCGATTCCCTGGTTCGGAAACGTTTTGAGGTTTTTTGCTGGTTACTCACCACAGCTGTTAAAGAACATGTAGCTCTAACAAATCCCCGCCAACCACCAATCCGTACTGGTGTATCGGTTAACATTTGTCGCTTTCAATCCGGAAGCACCGACAGGCGCAGGGTTCGACTCCCTGGTTCGGAAACCAGAAACCAGGTGCTCGGAGGGCATCAGCTTTTGCTTTTTCCTTCATCATTATCATCTTAGTCTTCATGTTCTAAGCCTTCGTCCGCGATAATTGGCTTAGCGAAGATTCCCCCTCCAACATGTCCTCCGTGTCGAATCATCTTCGTGCGTTCTGGCACCTTAGAGTTCCTGAAGAATTATGTTGCTGAGGTCGCTCCGTGGCTCGACATGTTCGACAGCAGGCTATCACAGGGGGACCCAGATCCACAAACGTACACCAAAGCCTCGACACCGAATGACATCGTGCATCCGCCCTCGCCTAGATTTCGCGTCACATGTTGCGGGCGATGGGTTCATCCCACTGAAACGCATCTCTTTTTTGTTTGCGGAGCATCATCAGGCTTGGCGCTCATGGGTCGACAAGCGACGCTGGCTAGACCTTGAATGACCACTCCACTGGTCTCGACGGTGTCGTGAACGGGGCTACTTGGGTCGGCTAGCGCACTCACGCATTCTGATCCTTCGACTACGATAGATCGAACGGGATTTCATCTCGGTATGTGTTGGGCCATCAAGCGTCCTTCACCTGTGACTCTTGGTGGCATGGGCGTGGTAGTTCGGTGCCGCTGAGGACAAATTAAAATTTGTGATGGGTGAGGGATGTCATCTTCTGGAGAGGAATTTAATAAAGTGTACTTGTTCTCATGGTAAGCTCAAGCGGGCATATACCGCGGTCTTGCTTTGGCGACTCTGAAGACTGTTCAACGTGTACACCTCGTCAGGAACATACAGGCCCGGATCAGACTCAATGCGCTTTATCTCGGGACTCGGAGGGTCAACCTAGCAGGCTGATATACTGAGAGCCTCCATCCAACGTGCCGGCGAGGGACAAGACATGCAACATGTACGCCAAGACTCACTCACCATGGCCATCGAGAAGCGGAAAGACCGCAGTGCGCCAGCCATCCATGATATATGTATTCAGAAGCTCCCCCCATGCCGATGGCATATGACCACGCTCCATTATGTACGTATGCATAAATGTTTCCAGTCCCTGAAAGCCCGAGCTTCCATTTTCTGTGTTCAAAACGCCTGTCCCCGAAGCCAAAAGTCGACCCCAATGCGCCAGCCCATACACCAGTGCCCCTGTTAATCGGTGGGCTCAGTTCCAGACCATGCCAGTTCAGCCTTCGTCCTTCATCCCATGACCTCCAGCTCCGCATCGATAAACTCCCCAAAACCGGGCGGCAATGCCTGCTTGTCGCCCATCTGCTCTTTGAGAGGCCCCCAGTTCGGTTCCGTCTCGCCGTCGCCGTCGCCGTCGCCAGTGAAGACGGGCGTTGGCGGATATGCCGTGCTCGCAACAGTGGACGCGCTTCCGTGCTCGCTGGTGGTGCCCAATGACTCGTCGCCGTCGACGGCCATGACAGAATTCCACAGCCTGTGCAGCTGTGTCAAGGGCTGCTGGGCCTCGAGCTCGCGCCGCCCGATGCTGAGGCCGCGCTGGAACCAGGCGGCGTAGTACCACCGGCGTGGCGCGTAGGTAGCGACCTCACTCCAAAGAATGAAGACCATGAGGGCGGCAGGGCTCTTAGCGCGCAACAGTGCAATATACTCCTCCTGCAGCATGACGGGCCAGGCGACCATGTGGCAGAACATGCGCGGCTTGCCACCAGGCAGCGTCTTGACCCAGGACGACAGCGCGGCGAGGGCCTTCGTAGCAGCGGCGGCTTCAAGGACCTCGCGGTCGCTGTCGCTCGGGCCGGGTCGCAGCCAGGTCTCGAGCTTTGTGATTTTGTCAAGCGTCGCGGGCGCGAGGTCGTCTGGGTCTTGGGCCCAGGCGTCGGCGTCGGCCTGCTGAATCTTGTCGCGCAAGGGGCTGTTCTTCATATATTCGGCGATGGACACGCCGAACTGTCCGCCAACGCGCATGAGCGACAACGTGTCGGCTGGATTGGGCTGGTAGGGTATGGACATGACGTTCTCGTCGAGGAAGGGTCGGTAGTAGTCGAAGATACCGTTACACATGGAGAACATGACCAGAAGCACCCAGTTCTCCTCGTTCATTTCTCGAATGGCGAGCCGAAAACAGTTGCTAGCTTGTATGGAGTATTGATAGGTGAGGGCGTAGTATCGTTTGGGGTCTGGAGGCTGGAGGTAGCAAATGTGTAACGCTGACAACGACAGCATGATTTGTTGGATGAATATGTGTCGCGTGGCGAGCTGCGGAATCCACCTAGACCAAACATCGCATTTTGTAGGGTCTGACAAGAGCGAGAAGGTGTGCCACGCATGGGTAAAGAAGTGATGCTTCAGCTCTGCCTCGTCGGCCCTCCATCGTTCAGCCGGCATAGTGTTGATCAGGGCATCTCGTGAAGAAGCGTGCTCGACGGCGGCGGCGGCGTGTCGCACGACAGCCATGGCGTCGTCATTCCGGGTCGAGATCGACAGGCCCGTCGTCAGGTCGCTCATGTTCGTCGCCAGCAGGCCAAGATAGCTGCATTGTTCCTGGCGTCGGCGGCAATTGGCGCAGACGGGACCGATGCAGTCGCACTGGATAGGTCGCGGGGTCAGCCATCATGTCGCCGGCAACGAATAAAGGCGATGGACAATTGGCATGCTTTGCTTCAGTGATGGCAGGGGCGGAGAAGGTTGCCTACCTTGACTCGGCGTTTCTTGCATTGGCTGCAGCCGCTGCGGCTCTTGCCGTTGAACCTGCGAGAGCCTTTGGGAGGCATGGCGGGTAGGACCGCGAGAGGGACGTCGCCTGATCGCGTGGATCGTTGGTCCAACGGCAGTGCTTGGGTCCTGTCGTGTCGTCTTGTTGAATCTGTCGGCAGTTGGCGCGCTGCGAATGCCAGTTGCCCAGCTCTGTGGGAAGGGAGGCTCACATCGAGGTCGATGCTATGCTGGGAAGTTGGGTGGAGAGAGGTTTCGTGCGGGAGAAACGAACGGGAGATGGATGCACACAGTTGGTTCGTTGCGGTTGCGTTGGCGCGGACGGTACAGTAACAGCGCACAATCACAATGGGCTTTGGCTCTGCCTTTGGGGGCAGACCGTGGGCCGGGGCCGGGTCGCGAGGGGCTTCTTGGCTGTTTATTAGGTGCTAACCGTCCTTTGTCTGCATCTCTTCCGTTCGGGTCAAAGGCGGCAGAATCAGGCTTGGCAGGATCTCTGGCGGTGGCGGCGACGGCGGCGGCGCCCGATGGCCTTTTTGCCGTCTGCGCTGCAACCACACGATCATAGTGGCGTGAGTGTGTCGGACCCGTCCGTGGTTCATTGGGCTAGCAGTTGCTCGCGTGTCAGGATCAGGATTGAACTCGAGCTGGCTGAGGTGAGCCCGAACGGTTCGTTTCCGAAGCGAACAAGTCCTCGTAGCCTCATGTGAGGACTGTGCAATCGGCCCAAGCTATTCGGAGGGGAAACCGTGAAAACCGTTGGATGGATGGATGGACAGATGAGGGGAAGAGACGGGGGGGTTGAGGGGACCTTCTAGGGCCTCTCGCTTCGTCATGGGTGTCATTCTTGGCCCCGGTGGAGGCCGGCAAGTCGACATCCGTACAATTCCCACCCACACACACACGTGGTAGTGGTGTCAGGCAGGTTGGGTATGTTGGTCCTCATCGGGATTTGCCAGCTGAGTGAACACCCACTCCTTCCAGCACCCTATCACGTCCCATGTCGACTGAAGATGGCTTCAACATGGCTTGTGTTGTGAGATCCAAGCCGAGATCAGGATGCTATTGTCAAAATGTCTGAGTTCGGATCAGTCACGAATTGCAGCCTACCAGGCCCGACCCTGCTTCTTGACCTGGGGGAAGCTCTCAGATCGGAGCCCCTACTATACCTACCTAAGTAAGTAGGCAAACCCTCGTTGACGGCGTTGCAGGGATCCAGAGTGCTGCCGAAGTTGCTTTTCGTTACGCTGAAGTGCGCGGTCAATGCAGCGCACCAGCCATGCTTAAGACCCTCTCCTTCGGGAGGGACGAGATACTCTGCAGGGATATTCTGCCTCTCCCAGCAGTGCACGCTTCACTTTCCACGCCCTTTGCAAAATGTGAGTAGCCGTTGAGGGATTGCCGACAGTCTTGTTTTGAATCGCACCATGTCGCTATCGTGAGGGGATACAGCGGTTGAACCCAGGGAGGACACGATGGACGTTTGACCAGTGCCCAAAGTGGATGCCAAAACGGCGGAGCCAAGCGAAGGGCAAACGATGCCCTTCCTCGAAACAGGTCGAAGAGGACCAGCCCTGATGAGGCCCAAGAACACGATCTAGCGGCAGCAAACATCGCTGCTGCAGGCGCAGCCTCAGTACCACAGTACTACCAGGCCATACACCTGGCATTGAACTGCAATCAGGACGTGGAGAAGAAATGCACCCCTCTGTGGTGTCAAGCAAGCGACGCAGTTTCTTGATCACCAGTCTGGACATCTCGGGTTTCAAGGTCTATTTCAATGTAAACCAAGAAAGGCTGGTTCATAGAGACTTGAAGGACCGTCCAACGGGACGTCTCAGAGTAATCTGATTACCCACGAAGAATTCGCCTTGTGCGACTGATACCTGCAGCTAAGCAGTGTTAGCGGTCCCTCATGAAGAACCTGGATACTGCCAAGTATTCCTGGAAGTGCGGCGTATCACAGAGTGTGACCTTCCAGCCTGCACATCCAGCCTCGCCCAGGCGGAGAAAAAAGTTCTGTTCTGTTGCACTTGCACAGGATTCGCGTCGAAGTTCACATTGTATTTGCTGTCAACAAGGAAGGCCGAGATGCCGGATCCGGTGTGATAGTGGCTGCGTCCAGCAAGGCTGGCGTGAGCTGACTTAATGTAGGCCTAGCTACCTCACCTAGGTATGTAGGTACGTAGGTCAGTATGGTAGGCGGGACGAACAGTATCGCCCTCATGGGACTCCGTATTCGGGGAAGAAAGTAGGCGAGCTTTTTAAGATGCGGCCACGATCCCCATCTTGGTTCGTACAGCTGATGAAGCGTTAATGTGCCGAGATTTGTTTGTCTG